AAGCCCCCCCCCCCCCCGATTTTTTCTCCTGAGACCTTGCCTGTCTCGAGCTAAGGAAGGTGTTGGCGGCCTGTATCGGGGAATGATTGCGATGAGTTACAAGAAGCTGAGACGGCAGGAGTTTGATATCCGGATCTTTTATAGGGGCTTAGAGATATGGATCATCTACTGGGGTTGAGAAGTCAGGATTGGTATGCAGGGGTCTAGAAATCAGTCTTTTGTTTTTTGGCTTTAGGGGCGTTGTTTAGATAGGGTCTGGAACTGGTGGGGTTGGAATTCAGACTCCTGGGAATAGGATGATTATAGGCATTCGAGTCGGGCGCCGAGGATTTGGATGATTCCGGGGTGGAGAGGGGGTTGACGCTTCCAGGTTGCAGAAATTTTGGTTATTATGCCGCATGCCAGGCCCTGTGCGCTGCCAAGTCCCAAAGACCCCTTTACAACTTCATATATTTCCATAGGACGTCGTGACGACTTCGTGGACCTTATGGCAGCCTAGTGCACCCCAAGACGGTGCTCTGGAATTCCATCCATATTCTTCCTTAGGGTTCCTCACTCTAATCATATTATTATGCACCCCAAAACCCTATTCTAATCGTTAAGGCCCGTATACTAGTTCAGCCCTAACCGCTCATTGTCTGAGTGTGAGAGCCGAAACCCCAAACCCTAGAACCCCCGCGTCTCAGTTCAGCCCAGGACCGTGCTCTGGAATTCCATCATGATGGCGTTTAAGCACCTCCTTGGTCCTAAACGGGCGATGACGCCTCCGGAGCGTCTTGACAATGGATGGACGGGGTTTAGTAGGGCCTGGGGATTTTTGAATTTTGTGTAAGGGACGGGCCCGATCTCAGCTTAATTCCTTTCGGATTCAAATCAGCGCCTCCGCAATCAACATATCTGCCGTATGCATGTTCTTCAAGCGATGATACGGCTTGGCGCTTCGTTTTCTATCCTTCAGCCTGATAAGGCTTAAACCTCCACCTTGCAGAAGTGGCTACACAGCAGGCCTTGACGAGCCGATTTTTGCTCATCTGCACCGGGAAGCTGTTGCTGACTCACACATTGCTACGACAGTCCAGAGTCATACCTTGAACCCTGTTCCAGATAAACAGTGCCCTAAACCCTATAGAGTCTATAGAGCCTTGTGTAATGGACCTTCCGCCTGAATCCGTGCCTCCTTCGAGGGAGTGCGCGAGTCGAAACCCTAAATCTCTACATCCTGTAAGCTGCCAGTTCCGGTCTTCTCCAGCCAGATTTGACTGCCCGCAGCGTTGGAACAGGGTGAAGCCGCGAACGCGTTCCTAGTCGAACTGGTATGCACAGTCCCATGAGCCAGAAACTCCCAGAACCAGCCTGTTCAATGCCCAAAAAGCCAGTTGCCTCTTTTCGAAGCCCAACACATGTCAGACAAGGCTTCCCAACTCAGTGTCACGTGAGCTTGTGCCCAGAGTGTTGGTGCAGATGTGTGTGCCAGCCATGGAGCCAATGTTGGCATTCTGAGGGGGTCATCGGAACATCTTGGAGATTCCCTTTAAACCATAACCGTATACCCTAAACCCTAAACCCTAAAAGCCCTAGATGCTTTGGCGACTCATAGCTTCGGATCCGGAGGAGCCTGAAGAGGCTGAGGATCCTGAGGAGTATGACAGGAGGAGGTTTCGATATGCCTCCAAAGTCTACGAGGGGCATGAGAATCTCTACTTGCATCAGAGGGGCGGTCCGAGCCATACCCTGCCCTCTGCACCACGTCCACCCCCAAGGAGAGCTCGACAAGGCTCAAAGGTAGCCATGCCGGCCAGGAGGAAGTGGGGACGCCAGCACCAACATCCCTTTGCTTTAGAAGTGGGCTTGCAACCCAAAACGGGCTTGGAGCTGGCACCAAAAAATCCCAGCTCTTCTCCGAACCAGGAGGGTCAGCTTCTGCCCCCCCAGGCCGAGCTCCGTCATTATCACTCTGCTGACGATGGGCCCAAGGACGGCATCTTACCGGAACGGTACCCTGAACCCAGGGAACCTGACGACCAAAGCAAGGGTCGACGGAGTGGTGGACCATGGCATGAGAGTGGCCATCATGACAGTGTCTACAGCTCTGGTGATCTGGGAATGGGACTGTGGGATCGTGGATGTAACTGGGATGCGTCGTGGACAACAAGCTCGCGCATCCCTGCCGAAGGGACACGTCCGACCAGTACACCTTCACAAGACCCCAGGATTGGCATCTGGCAGCAACAAGTCCACGAACCACAAGTGGGTCGCCTCCATGTTAGTCTCGAGGAGTGCCTGACACATCCGACGAGTACACCTTGGCAGGGACACAATGAGCAATGGCAACAAGACCCCAGGGGCAGCAACTGGAAACAAGAAGCCTTGACACATCCGACGAGTACATGTTGGCAGGGGCACTAAGTCTTATAACTGGCATTTTGTTTATGATTGTTATTACTATTATGATTATTATATGACCAATGGCAAAAAGACCCATGAGGCGGCAATCGGCAAGCTCATCGCCGCCACGTGAAGCTCGAGGAGTGCCTCTAACAGCAGCCACGGACGCGAGGCGTGGGGCCAACCATGCCGCAGACATCATCAGCCAGCTGCAGCGTTAGGCGGTGAGTCACGGCAGCTCGCAAAAGAACCGCAGGTCTTACACTGCCACCCTCAGCCGGCTTGAACTACTACTAAGTAATTGTCAAGGCACGATCACTTTGTAGTGATAGTACTGAATACAGTATACTCACAAATCCTGATTCCCGTCATTATGACAGCTTTGCAGCTATATGAAACAAAAGAGCCGAGCAATTGGTTTAAGCTCCGTAGTTGGCGACAGTCTGGACATCATCCAGCTGGACTTTTCGACCTTTCTCCTACACTGAAGCTTCAAGATTTAAACAGATAGATCTAACTTCCTACAACCCTGAATCCTAAAACCAGACTGCCAAGGTTCAACTGCACACAGCGCATTTCCGTAAAACCCTAAACCCTAAACCCTCGCCTGGCATGTCCGAGTTGTGAGAGCCTAAACCCTAAACCCTCAACCCACAACCCGGAACCTTGAAGGTAACTCCCCTAAACCCTATAAACCCCAAAAACCTTCCTGTAACCCCTAAAAGCGCCAAGCCTTAAACCCTAAACCCTAAACCCTACTTGTAAGCCCTGAAAGCCCTAAACCTTAAACCCTGAATCCTGAACTGTGTCGGACCCGATGCTTCAGGGTTCAGAGACAAATGACACAGTGCCCAGTACAGAAGTTTAGATCCAACAGATTAGGTTTTTTGGTTTAGGGTTCGATGTAGGGCTTTACTTTTGGGGTTTAGGGTTTAGGGTGTAGTAAAGCCTAAACCAGATCTCAACTGGAAACATTTCAGCTGAGGACACCTGGAACAGTGGCCCGAACCCTCAGAATTTCAAGGCCTTGCAACTTAACTGAGGCCCCTTTTACAGCGCTGTAAGAGCCTAGTCCTCGGCAGACCCCGAATCCTTGACCTGGTTGCCTTGCAAGTCGTGTTCAGAACACCTCTATACTTTAGCGTCTACCTGAAAAGCCAAGTAGCCCAAAATAACAGACTACCATACCCTAAAGTAGCCCATAATTGGCTCAAAGTAGCCCCTAAATACAGACTACTGGCTTTCCAGGTACTCCTTTCTGCAGGGGTGTTGGAGTTTGGAGTCTCTGTGTCCATCGACAGAAATTTATATGGGTAGTTCTCTACATTAGGGTCCCTTTTTGGTCCCCTATATAGTACGGCACCCTTATAAAAAGGACCCCAAAAGGGACCCTAATTTAGAAAACTACCCATATACTATGCAAGAGAAATCACATATTGATCCACCTGAGGTCCCCAAAGCTCATGCACATGCCCCACGTTGCCCGCGAGCCTTTCCCGGCCGAGTGACAGGGCCTAGATAGCGCTGTTTGCAGGGTTTAGGGGTTAGGGTTTAGGGGTCTTGGGGAGGGCTTAGGGCTTTAGGATTTTGAGGGTTTTGAGGGTTCAGGGTGTAGGCTTCGAGGGTTTAGGGGCTTATAGGTGCTTTTGGGTTTGGGGTCTAGGGTTCAGGGTCTTCATGGAGGTTTCCCCTACCCGTTCCTACGAGGGCTTTTCTTGCGGAGTTTTGGAGTTTGGGAACTGAGTGTCTGTCAGTGTTTCTAAGGCTGTAGCCATGTAAAGTCGTAGTTAGGATATGCCGGTTTAAATCTCCAGGGCTTACGCCTCTACAGTGGAGGGTCGCGCGTCTTCAGGCTCTATAGTGGTATCTTAACATTGCTGAAAAAGTTGATTGGGCGCACATTAACCCCAAACCCGTCAAAGTCAGCTCGCACGTATGAACTGTTTGGCGGCTTCGGCCTGCAATGCCTGCAATACAGTTCAGGGCAGATGCGCTTTCTAAGGACGACTCTAGGGTGGACCATTTGGGGTTTAAGTTGGGGCTCAAGCACGTTATAATGGCTGGTTCTTTGCCGCAGAGGCCCCTTTTCTGATTCTGAGAAGATAGGTGCGCCACCCAACGGAGCGAGATGTGCCACATCATCCGTTCTTAGATTCTGGTCTTGAGGCGGAGTTTCTGGCACCCATAACCATAGGCCCCTAAGTAGTTCCTTTTGGGGGTTACGTTATAGGGCTCTAAATGTAAACCCTAAAAAGGAACTACTTAGGGGCCTATGGGTGGTTAGAATATACCCGAAACCCTAAACCCTAAACCCTCGTTCGGCTTGTTGTCATTACCTTTGCCTACAACCTCATGTGGGAAGAAAAACCCTGAAGCCCGGTAGGCCTTTCAAGCTCCTAAACCTAAAGCATTGATGATAGCCAAGCCCCATCGCTCTAGGGTTCGAGTGTAAAGTAGGTGCCTAAATGCCATCCCTTTCGTGTTGATATATAAAGTGCACGCACAGGCGTATATATATATATAGAGGGACACACCCAAGCCCTCAACACTACACTACACACATTGACATGATGACCATGTGTGTGTATGTAAATATATATATATATATTTATTTATTTGTTTATTTATTTATAACTATATATATATATACACATACACAGATGTTTACTAGTAAGCCGTTCAGAAGTTTAAATCGTCGTAGATCCCGAGATGAGGAGCAGGAGTATCCATATTGCTTGAGTACTTGAGTCCTAAGCCCACGACACTACCTACTTGAAGCATTAAGCCCCAAGGTACACGCAGGAGAAGCTCGATGAGATCTTGGAGTATCTCCGGCGCGTCGGTAGCAGCCGCAAGAAGGCCGGAGCGCGTGACTGTGTAAAATAAAGCTTCTAGGTTGTTTGTTCTTTGCTGCTTCTTCCTCTTCTTCTATTGTGCGTGTGTGTATATATATATATATATATGTGTGTGTGTGTGTGTTTCATCGCTTGGGGTTGAGGCTTTCGGGTTTGATTGGGGTTTGGAGTCCCGGGTTGCTTGCTTTGTCGGACCTATGCAACTAGGCAAGTTCTTGGGATCCCTTCGTTTGCGATGTTTGTGATTTCGTCAGGTCTTCGTCAGTAGCAGAGCTCCCGCCATGCGCCAGCTGTAGATACCGCAGTATAGAATGGTGCCCATGCCAAACCCCAAACCCTAAACCACATACCCTACAACTTCCAACCCTTTAATCCCCAACCCCAAACCTCAAGCCCTGAACCTCCAAATCCTATAGTCTAGACCCTGAATCAACAGAAGCAGGAGGCTACTACACATACTAAACCATAGTAAACCAGAGAAGGGTCTCCTATAGGAACCAACCCGTCAATGAATTCGGCTTAGGCTTTAGGGTTAAGGGCTGAAGGATTTCACTTTCAGGGTTCAGGGAGTACGGTTCCGGGCAGTTCCGGGTTTAGGGCTTCGCGCTTTTAGGGACTGAAGCCTTAAGCCCGAAACTGCAAGCGGATTTTGACAAGTTTTCGAGGGGTTCTGGTCTGAATGCTACCAGCGACCAATTATTGAAAGGCTTGATGACCTAACCCCAAGGATCCCAGAAATCGTGTAGTTAGGGTTTAGGGTTTAGGGTTCAGTAGTCGTTTAGTATATGCCTCTGGGGCCCAAATATCTACAGTAGCTACTCCACAGGTGCTTGGACCCTTTGGAACAAATCAATGATTATTCCTGAGTGTTCCTGATTACATATATACTACAGGGAGCCCAAGCCCCTATTCGAATTATTGCGGCAAACCCTAAACCCGAAACCCTAAACTCTATTCTTCCCCTACCCCCCAGGTACCTACTATATAGTGTACTAGAGCCCCTAGGGCCCTTTATAGTAGGCACCTGGAGGGTTAGGGTTCCCTAAGGATCCGGGATTCTGCTTGTGCCGCGAGGTTGAGGCGCTAGAGCAGCGGATGGACGAAGTCATTGTCGAGCTGAGGGAGGTACGGACGCCGCTCGGTCCCAACATCTCTTGGAATCTCGTCAGATTTCCGAGCAGCAAAAAAACGTTTAGGGTTTAGGGTGTATAATATTTAGGATGCATGGGGTTGTCATCTTGATTGCAAAACATGGATGAGCGGAGAGTTGTCGTTAAATTTCGGTGGACACAAAAAAGGATGCACGGGGGGTTGTTTTCTGATTTCGGTGTTAAGCAATAATGGATGCACGGAGGGTTATTTTCTGAGCCGGGGGGAAGCAAGAATGGATGCACGGTATGAAAGAGCACGTCGCGCTCTTTGGGTTTTAAATTTTATAGGGTTCTTTATGCAAAGTATTTATAGGCTGGTCTACGTTTGATTCAGGGGTTCGTAAGATGAAGCAGCTGATTTCAAGGTCTTTGCATTAAGAATCCTATTGCTAGGAGTTTGTATTCGTTCCTTAGTGCTGAGGACCACCATAAACCGACACCCCTTTAAGCAAATTCGACCATAATGACAAGCCTGACGGATCCTTACTCGTGGACTTTAAGTAGCATGGTGTTAATGTAGCCGTGGTAACTTCAGCAGCTAATTAAGCTCGTGTTCCTTGACGGGCGGAGCATTGGCATCCTGACTACCAGGACCCCCTAATTCAAGCTTTAGCTCCCGCAGACCCTTATAAGCCTTTCACAAAGCTCAAACACCAACCACAATACCGTTAAGTAACTCATTAAACAACTACCGGACCGATTGAAAACTCAGTACAAGACTCTCTACCAATCCTTCCCCGCAAGACCTGGAAGGCTGCTGTTAGGACGAGCTGTACAGGCTTTCGGGATTTGTGGGGTTGAAGGGTTCAGCGACTAGGGATGAATGAGGCTTAAGGACAGAGGTTACATGGTTTAGGGCTTGAGCTTTGGGTTTTCGGCTGAACGCAGGATCC